TGAAAAAGAATTATATTTCATACATATTTTACAAAGGTTGTATTGTGTTTATAGAATCAATAGCTATTCAAATCAAAAAATTAGTAGATAAACCGATGAAAAATCACAAAATAATAAACTTTGCTCGCCTTGCATGTAACACCGAACTATTCGAGGAATCTAGAACAGCAGCGAGATCAGCTAAAGCGAGTCCAACAAGATAATGACAACGGCGAAACTCATATGACAGCTCGCCCGATCCTAACGATCCCCATGAATCTAATGTCGTAGTTGTTGACCTAGAAAACAAAAATATTACTCAATTTACTGCAGAAAGGGTTACATCGAATGCGAAGAAAAAAAGAGAGAAAGATTTTGCGACAATAGCAAGTTACAGATTCTGCGAAATCTGTTGAAATTTTCTAAGACGTTTTGGGGTCACAGTTGTTGAAATTGAAGCTACACTTCGCCATGAACAATGAATGCATTGAGGAAAACTCCACTATACTGTCGGAAGAAAATCCTATGAGATTTCCTAAAGAATTGCCCAGGTCACGCTTTCGTCAGCAGCAGTCATATCAGCAGTGTTTTTTGAAAGTGTGACGGAAAAGGTCGATTTTGAAGAACAATGTCTTAGGCCCAGACATAGGGAAATAGCAAAAGTCCAAGAGCGGGAAGAACTCGGTTTCATCAAATCAATAAGCTCACTAGATTGACAGGGTGAGTCATAATTTTGAAAAATTGAGCAAAAATGAGATTGAGATTCTCTCATTGGTATAAAAAACTCCCCCAAATTTGAAAACACAGCAGAATCAACAACTGCAAACACACCTGCTCGAAATGCTACCAGACTCTGGGCTCAGAGCCATCTGAGTGACTGAGCTTCCAGTGCCAGACGATATACAAATCGATGACGATGATGTAGACGTCGGAACACTATGAGGTGGGCCAAATGGGAGATTCAGAATGACAAAGTGCTCATGAGAGCTTACAATCCGCACAAAGTCCAACTTCAACAACATCAAAGTCGTCGCAGCCGGTTCTCCAATGCAGCTGAAAGAATAATGTGAGAAACATGGAGACAGAGCTGTTGACCACGCAAGTACCTTATTCTGTGTGAAATATCTCTGTTGAAATCTCGAACGAGACCCATGACGTAGCTACGATCCATAAGCGAAAACGCATCCCTAAAATAATGTTATTATCCAGAAACACATGACATAGTATTCGGAAGCTACTGAATACAGCAGGAAGTTCCCATGAAAAGTCATAACATTCAAACATTGGAAAGTCAGACAATTGAACGGGGCGTCCGTTACTGTTTGAACGAAAACCTGTTTTCAGAATCAATAAACAAGCCACTAGATAACATTCGGGGCTGCGAAAACACAACAAACCGTTCCGCTCACAGCCAACGCTTCCAATCCTAGTTATAACCAGCCAGAACGTAAAGACCAATGTAAATGTTTCAAGTCCAGTTTGTTCAGCTGCATGATTCTCAAACGGTAAAATCTACGAAAATTTACTGCTAGCAATCCGTTTTGCTGTATTTTGGAACATTTTCAGAATCAAAGGTAATTCGCGAGAAACTGACTGCCCACAGTTGAGTGAAAAGGTCAGTCTGAATTTGTGATGAAGAAAACAATCAAAAAGAATTCTTATTGCACCCCCCAAGGAAAACCAAGCTCGGAAAAAATGCTCTACTAAAGGCGCACCACTACTCGACAACCTTGATATATAGGATATTACGAGTGCATGAGATCGCCTGTGGCACAACGTCATCCCAAAAATTGTGCCCCTGCGACCCCCTCCCGCGCGCACGTGTGAATTACGTAACTATCACCACTTGTGTATCATCGCAGAAGGCCTGATTGCAGAGGTGTCAGCCAATGTCGTACCTCACAAAAAAAACGCCCAGCTGTTTGCGATGGCAACCGCCTGGCGCGGATCTTTGTTAAGACGGGTGACCACTTCGGCGATTGTCGCACACGATAACGAGTCGAGCGCTTTCACAAAACGTTCACTGAATCGCGATCGTCTTGTTAGGTACAATCTCGCCAGTATCGAAAAGGTACTGTGCCATTGGCACTGTATCTGAGAAACCAGTTTTCGATAGCTTGCTAGAAATGAAGAGAAAAGGATCTGGAAAACTACCATTAACTCCAGAAAGAACCAAGCGTTCAGAAACGCCATTTCCCTGGCACAACCGCCACTACGGACCCACTGCTCGGCTAATTCTTCATGCACTGCCTTATTGGACGTGCTGGGCACCGCATCAACTGGGGACGCTGGTGGTGCGCACTTAATTTCTCAACGTCTTCTGAAAAGAAAAAGTGAAGTGGCAGTTATGAAATTAGGAGCAAAAATCTGTTACTGTAAAGGAAACAGACCAATGATATGGTAGAGCTTCTGAGTTTCCGGGGAGCCAGGCTTGTTCTTCTCGGCGGCCATATCCTTACACAGCTGCGATCTCGCTTTCGACTCTTAAAAACTTTTTGATCACGCTTCGCCCAACTAAGTCTATATCAAGCTATCTGAGAGTGAGCTTACCAAAGCTGGAAGAAAAAGCAAACACTGAAGATTCTAGTGTTGCAAAACAACAGGGAACAACCTATGATGTATGCAAGAAATTTAGCGAATTTCATAGATCAAAAAGAGGGCGGTGTAGCAAATTCAAAATTATGATGTATCAGAGTGTGCCTCAAAAAGCTACTTTCGCCAGAAAGGGAACACAGTGACCCAAGGATCTTTCCGCCTGTGGTAGTAGACCGTTGAGAATTATTTACATGGATTCAAACAAATGGAAATTGACAAAACAAAATGCACCCTAATGAACATCCACACCGCAATATTCAGAAAAAGACAAATCAACACTGAACTGAACTAACTGCAACAAACCTTTCATGGCTATTTTGTAGTAGTGCACATAAGATGTCAGAAGCGCACTGCCGACCGTGCATATCTAAGCATGAGTCTAACAACATGGTACAGATTTTCACCAGCTGTCCCAATGTCTCAAAACATGCGCTTGATAATGCATCTGGAAAGGAGAAACTTTTGTCCATTTCTCTCACTGTTATTTTTCAAGGTGTACAAATTACCTGAGTAAGGTTTATTTGCAATCAGAGCGATCAACTTGTCCAGCACATTATACATAAAAGCAACCATTGGTTCAGGACGTGCTTTGATGACACTCTAAAAACTAGTTTCGAGTCGGTGGGTGACATTTAGCGGTGACAGAATTTTTCCAGAAATTAAATCTTTTCGAGCACTGGTTGGATTAAGGTGTTGCAGCAAACACGGGAGCCTTGTTCACAGTGGCAGGTACATAAAAGATGAAAACAAATGGGACCATCGAATAACATGTATGAGAATGCACCCGCTATCAATACATAAGTTAATTTTCCCAATTTTGGAAATGTTCACCTGACATACTAGCAAATGGTGCAATGACAAGATACGTTCCCTAATACGTGCACGCGGTAGAGGTTCATTTATTCAATTTAGAACTTTTTTGCGTCTTTTTACGTTTGTTTCATTTTGGTTACAGAGATTAACGTTTTTACGCGCTTGTGTCGCAATTCTCCAAAAA